TTCCCATAAGGTCACCCATCATTGTTGTACTCCACACTGAGCATTTTTAACTTCGGAGTTCTCACAAGAACTCCTCCATTTCACCCCAAAACGCGTCTTGTCAGTTAAGGTCGGTTTCCTACTTATGAACCATGGATCTCTACCGTGCTTTGTCGATGTGGGATTCGCCTAAGGTGTTACATACACCCCCCCTCGGGACTCAACGTCCTCGTTGAGGTTTGCCCCACCATCGTTCAAGAGGGACGCGGAGAAGCTCTGATACCACTTGTAACATCCTGAACCTTTTCCCGACAAGATACTGTCCGCTTGGGGCCTCTAATCCTGCACGGATTTCGACTTAGGGTGCAATTCAGGGTGACTTCCCATAAGGTCACCCATCCTTGTTGTACTCCACACTGAGCACGTTTAACTCCGGAGTTCTCACAAGAACTCCTCCATTTCACCCCAAAATGCGTCGAGTCAGTTAAGGTAGGTTTCCTACTTATGAATCATGGATCTCTCCCGTGCTTTGTCGATGTGGGATTCGCCTAAGGTGTTACATTTAGCAATCATGAGTGTGGCCTACGGCCATATTTTCATCCCCTAGCGATTCGCAACCACCTTACCCATAGCAATCGTTTCAATTCACATACCATGGTAGTAGTTAGGGGGAAGCGACACTCAAGTGATCCTTCTCACAAAAGAGCTTTCAAAACCATTCCCTTTTGTCTTGATTTACTTTAAATAGCAAACTTTTCAACCAAAACCGAGTTGCTAGATAATGATTCAAATGACTGAAGTAGGGGTAGACGGACCGGCCCGGGTCGATATTTAAACATTCTTATCCTGTACTGCACCCGACTAAGGTTTATACTTGGACCTTAGGCGGGAATTTGTTGTGGTATTTGGGACGAGTCAAGTTTTTGGCACCATTGCCGGGGAACAACTTTCTGTTATCTGGAAAAAGTTGCTTGACGTTAATCTAGCTTTTAATTTCCATTTTTGAAAGTGTGTGTACTTTGCTTGTGCTAGACTTGGTGCTGTTTTCCGATTGTGTGAAGGTGGTGCATGACCCAGAGTAACCCGGCACCCTTGCTACCACATGACGAGGACATAAACCGAACTCTACTGCTCCTAGCAAGGGAGAGAGAGCTAGCGGAGGCAAGAAGAAGAGTTGAAGGAAGGGGACAACAATTGGGTCCCGGTGTTAGTGGAGAAGAAGTTGAAGAAGTGGATGTTGAACCCGTTGTTGGAGTAGAAATGGCGGGTAACCAAAGACAAGATGGAGCCACCCAAGCTCGTAAGCTAAACAATGCGGCAGAGGAAGAGGAAGCCCCGAGGACAATGGCGTAATATATGGCCACACTGCCTGCGGATATTCAATCGCCAATCCTACACCCTCCTGTGGCGGCAAACAATTTCGAGATCAAGCCGGCCATAGTGACTATGATACAGAACAATGCTTTGTTCCAAGGCCTGGAGAGCGAGTCACCAAGAGAGCACCTGCATAGATTCTTGGAGCTTGCGTGGAGCTTGAAAATTAATGGTGTGCCGATTGAAGCTTTGCAACTAAGGCTTTCCCCCTACTCACTTGCGCGAAAAGCGCTTCGATGGCTAAACAATCGCCCACCTCGGTCAATCACCTCATGGGACGATCTTCTCAGCAAATTCATGAATCACTGCTACCTGCCTTCAAAGACAGCGGAGTGGAGAAAGAAGATTACCTATTTCGAGCAAGAAGAATACGAGACCTTGAGGGACGCTTGGGAGAGGTACTCCGATTACTTTCTTCAGTACCCTCACCACGGGTTTGAAGAACAGTTTTGGTTTGAAACCTTCTACGGAGGTCTAATCCCAGAAAACAAAATTCTCATGGACTTCTTGTGTCAAGGGAAATCGATGAATATGGCTCCGCCCCAAGTAACCGAGCTACTCGAAGACATGGCCCTTAGGGGGTATGATTGGGGATTGACTAGAAGCGGTAGGAGAAGCAATGATAAGGGAGTGAGAAGCTTGGGAGCGAGCGCTCCGCTTGAGGGGAATTGGATAAGTTGATAGAGGTAATGCTTGAAAATAAGAGGCAAGGAAAAAGGCCAGTGATGTCGTGCGACTGGTGTTCGAGCACTAGCCATGAGATGCCGGAGTGCCAGGCAATGAAGGAGGCAAACACTTCGGAGGAACAAGTCAACTTCGTGGCAAATGCTAGGGCTAACAACCCATATAGCAATACTTATAATCCCGGATGGAGGAACCACCCAAATTTTGCTTGGTCATCACCAACTAATCCTAGGCCCCCGGGTTCTCAAGGCTCCACGGGAAATTACCAACCTCGGCCGACCTTCATCCAAAAAAGGCCTCAAGTTCAAGGCTCAAACTTCCAACAACCGTACCAAACACAAGGTGGCCTAGGGTTTCAACAACCACAACAACCCGACAAGCTATCTAGCTAAGCTTGAAGACCTAGTGAACACCTTCGTGAGTACGAGTTCTCAAAAAATCGAGAAGATAGAGCAATTTATGGATGTGGCGACTACCAAGTTTCCCTCGGTTGAGGCAGGACTCCGAAGCCACCAAGCGAGCCTCCAAATTTTGGAGGTGCAAATCGGCAACCTTGCCGGCATCCTCACCGAGAAACCAAAGGGAGCCTTACCTTCCCAAACCGTGGCAAACCCCAAGGATCACGCCGAGGTGAATCCAATTCAAGTCGAAAGTCACCACTAAAGAAGTGATTGACAAGGAAGATACCAACCCAAAGGACGGAGAGAATAAGCCCTCGCGGAGAGAGAGGAAGGCGGCAAAGAAGGCATCGCCGGTGAGTGGGTACACGCTGCCTCTTCCTTACCCCACGAGGACGTACAGGGAGAGGTTGGAGAACGAGTGTGGAGGTTTCATGGAAATGCTCCGCAACCTCCACCACAATATCCCTTTCCTTGAAGCCATGGCGTCAAATTCCAAGATATGCCAAGTAACTCAAAGTATTCCTCACTAAGAAGCCAAATCTTGAAGACCTCACCAACATGAATCTTGGTGAGGAGTTTTCGGCTTACCTCCTCAACCGCTTGCCCAAAAAGCGGTCTGACCCAGGTAGCTTTACTATCCCTCTTGATATTGGTAACCATCATATAGACAATGCCTCAGTGGACCTAGGACCTAGTTTTAATGTGATGCCCTACAAGCTTTTCAAGAAGTTAGAAGTAGATGAACTTAAGACCACTAAGCTTAGCATCACTTTAGCCAACCGTTCGGTCATTAGCCCGAGAGGAATTGTGGAGGACATGTTGGTGCGAGTGGGCAAGTTTTGCTATCCGACCGATTTCATAATTCTCAATATAAGCGAGGACTCAGATATGCTGCTCATACTCGGTCGCCCATTCCTCGCCACCGGCAAGGCATTAATAGACGTTAATGAGGGGACCTTAATTCTGAGGGATGGTGAGGAGAGAATCAAGCTTGAAATTGACTCTAAGGCTAGAAATGAGAAAGTGAAGGAGTTGGTTTCGAATGATGTGAATGTGAGTGGAGGAGAGCCTCTCAAGGAAAACCCCATTATTACTTGTGTTGCTTGTGGCGATGTTGAGCAGGAAGTCAAAGAGGGTACTATGACCAAGGAAAAGAAGAAAAATGTTTTTGAGGCAAAAGTGGCCTGAAGGAAGGAGAAGGCAAAAGCGAGGTTGGCCAACCAAGAGGGCCAACTCATGGAGCTTAAGATGGGAGGCTAAAAGTCGTGATCGATCCCCAACCATCAAGCTAATGACGATAAATTAGCGCTTGTTGGGAGGCAACCCAACAGAGGTTTGTTTTCTTTTCTATATTCTCGTTTTAGTGTCGTGTGAAGAGTTCGAGTGGTCAAGTGGTGTCCCCGTGCCAAGTTTTGTGGTTTTGTGGTTTAAGGTTGTGTTGTGATCGATTAGGAGGCAAGGTGGAATAGGTTGAGTCAAATTTTTCTCAGAAGTTCCCTGTTCTCATTTAGGTTCAAGGACGGATTGTTGTGTTCACGGTCTTACAAGACCGTGAACATGCAAACGCGTCCGTAAACTGGGCGCTTCTGCTTGTTCACCACCAGTCGACCAGCTGAAGTTCACGGACGCATTTGAGTGTTCACGGTTGCTAAGATAGTGAACAAGGCAACGCGTCCGTGAACTCCGAGTTGTGCCTATCAAAGGGGCGTGAACATCGACTCTTCACTTCACGACCAAATCTCGCCAGAATTTTCAAAATCACGACGGAACACCTCGAACCTCTGTCGGGTTTTCAATTTTTCCCCATTTCCGGCGAGCAAAACCCATAGAAAACTTCATACCCATTCTCCCCAAATCAAAACCGGCCTATGCTGAAATTTTGGGGAGATTTGGGGCAAGTTTTTTCCGGTCAAGTCGCCGACGGCGAGTCTCCGACGAGCTTCTGACAAAGCTCCGGCGACCCCTGTGCGGTCTTGTTTTTGGTCATTTTTTTGACTTCCTCGTTCACACCTCACTTCATCCTACGTCCCACTTGCATCTCTAGGTTGGTTTTTCAGCTCTACCTTATTAAATTGTGGAGAATTGGTTTAGGTAGTGAAGTGAGGTTGATTTGTGTGCTTTGAATGTTGAACTTAGATTTAAGGCGAGGAATTAGGTGAATTAGGTCTATTGAATGGTAGAATGATTTTTCATTAGCTTAGTTGAGCCTTGGTGGGAGTGTTTGAACCAAATTGTCTTTATTTTTAGAATATGCCCACCAAGTGCTATGTTGTGAATGCATGTGAAGTTTATGCTTGTTTGGTGGATAGTAGCCACCGTGGTTTGAGTTGTGGTTCAACTTTTTTTTGCACTTAAACTGTGAATTACCCACAACCATGCCACAGTGTGCTTGAGCTTAAATGTTTGATAACCATGGTGGAAAAATAAGTGTGGGGGCAATCTCTTTTCCTCCCAATGAGCATTATTTGATTAAGGTTTCCACATGTGGTGTATGTTTGTTAGTTTGTGCAGGATGGTTGATGACTTGATATATACACATGTTTTTATCCACCATTCTTATGTCGTTTGAGCCTCATTTCTCGTATCTTAGGCCGATTTCACGCTAGGTTGTTCTTGTTTGTGTTATTTCAGGTCCTAGTACGTGATTGGAGGTTTGGGAACGAGTTCGGGGTTGATTGGAAGAAAGTTGGACATTTGGCGAGAAGCTGAGGAAACCACACGGCCAGACCAAGCAGCCACACAGCAGTGTGGCGTCGCCGTGTGGAATCCCTTTACGCTGACAAAGCCACACTGGCCGTGTAATGGGTCCCTTGAGGCCGTGTCGAAATTCCAGGGAGCTCACACGGGGAAGCCAGTTTTCTACACGGTCGTGGAGCTCTGGCCGTGTAGCATTCGTGCAGCACTTAATTGAGACGTTGCGTTTTGGCACTCACACGGGCACACTGGGAAACCACACGGCCGTGTGGTCGGGAAATTCTGGGTTTTAACCCAATTTCGAGCCTAAGGAGAGGGAATCAAGTTTTTTAGAAAAAAACAAAGCTTTAGAGAGAGAAAGTGGGAAGAACAAACCCTAGGAGCTATTTGGAGTGGATTTCTTACCACTGAAGCCCAGATTGCATCCCCAGGAGTGAAGATCGGTATCCCAGAGCAGATTATCCTCATCTTTATGAGTATGACTACTCTGATTTCTATTTGCCTCTCTCTCTCTATGGAGTAGAACCTTCTCTCACTTGGGTATGAAGAACCCTAGTTCCATGTGTTAGGAATCTTGATTATAATGACTTGGGATTGATATATTGATTGGTTATAATCGATTGATGCATGATTCATCGAGTCAATTGAAGTCTGATCATCTTTTCTTGATTTGTGCTGCAACCTGAGATAGATAGAATATGATTAGGTTGTTAGAGCTTCATCAATCGGTAGTGGTAGATTGGTTATACGAGAGTTGATCGATTTAGTGCTTTGTATTGGAACCCAATTCCAGTAGTGGAGTTCTGTGCTTATTGCCTCAGCAGTCTATCCCGGCGAAGGTTAGCCTGCCTAAGAGGGCTTTGTCAGCTTAAGAGATTCCAAGCTACTGTCGGATCTTCCGCAGTTTAATGAACAGTTAATCAACTTAGGGTAATTACAACCTCGACCTAACTAAGGAGCTAGGGGGACTCATTCCTGATTGACTCTTCCCGTGCTAAAGAACTTTGAACCGTTTCTTGCTTTCTTACTGCTTTTAGTTAAAATCACGATCACTCGACTTAGTTTGCTAGATAATAGATAATCACGGAGTAGGCAGTAGATCTAGACCCTGGGTTGACAAATAGAGCTTGCCACTTACTGCATTTCCAGACTGCAATTTACACTTGGTTGCAGTTTGGTGTTGTGTTTTAGCGTGTCAAGTTTTTTGCGCCGTTGCCAGGGACCCTCTAGGTTATTGTGGAAACGTGAAAGTTTGTTACTTAGCATTTTCTATCTTCCACTGGTGTGACTTCACGGGTTGCTTTTGCTGATTGCGTGCAGGTAGTGCATGACCAGTACCCAGTCGGGAGATTTACTACCGTTAGACCAAGAGCTTGAACGGACCTGTAGGAACTTCAAGCGGGCTTTAAAGGCGCGACTGGTTGCAGAGGAGGCTCTAGCACAGTTGCAAATCGCCGAGGAGGAAGAAATGGGTGACCCACAGAACAATGATGTGGTCATCCCCGAGGAGCAGACCATGGGGTATTACTGGACCGCCAGAGCCGCGGACATGAGGTCTCCCATCCAGCACCCTCAAGTTCCAGCAAATAACTTTGAGTGAGCACCTGTGTCAACACCATGCTGCGTGGCTCGGTGGTGTTCCGTGGCAAGGATGGGGAGTGCCCCCGATCACACATGAGGTAATTCCACGAGCTCATCGATGGGATCAATATCAATGGGGTCCCAGCCGATGTCATCCAGCTGCGGTACTTCCCATTTACTCTAGAAGGGAAAGCCAAGGAGTGGCTGGACACTCGAACTGCAGGCTCGATCACCACGTTCGCCAACCTGGCGGACAAGTTCCTCACCCGCTACCATCCTCCGTCCAAGACTGCGGACCTGTAGAAGCAAATCACCCACTTTGTTCAGGATGAAGATGAGACCATGCGGGATGCTTGGGAAAGATACACCAGTCTTTTCCTCAAGTGTCCCAACCATGGTTTTACTGACACCTTCAAGGTGGGCACCTTCTACCATGCCCTCTTTCCGGAAGACAAGCAGCTGATTGACTCGATTTACAGCGGGAATATGCTCACCAAGACACCGCCACAGCTAAATTAACTTTTTGAAGAGATGGCAGAGCATGGCTATGATTGGAGAACTGCGTGGAGATCAAGACGAGCACCAGGGCGGGGTGTGCATGCTGTAACCACCTAGTCGTCTGATTTGGTGCAGGTGGTATCTAAATTGGTTTCAACCATCGATCGTTCTAGAATCATCCCAGGGGAAGGGTAGCAGTAGGCGATGCATTGCCAGTGGTGCGAGAGAACCCATCATACTGTGGAGGACTACCAGGCCATGCGTGAGTCCAGTACACCCCAGGAGTAGGTGAACTTCACCAACACTGCCAGGCGCAACGATCCTTACAGTAATACATACAATGAGGGATGGCGCCAGCATTCAAATTTATCCTGGAGTGGCAACAGCAATCCAAAGCCACCTGGCTTCCAGGCTCCTGCAACTAGTTTTCCAAACCAAAGGCAACCACACCAAGCTTGCCCGAGCCAGATCTAGAAACAGCAGCCACTTTATCAGCCCAGACAGGCACATGCTTTTCAACAGCCCCCACAGCAGCAGTACCAGCAGCCTGGTGCATCTCCATCAGTCCCAGCACCAGGCGATCCCGTGTCAAAACTGAGGGATCTAGTGACTACCTTGGCTAGCACTAGTACCCAAAAGTTCAATAAATTGGAGCAATTCATGGAAGTGGCTGCAGGCAAATTCATGGAAATTGAGGCTGGCCAGAGAAACCAGTAGCCACTCTTGCAGGATATGGACGCCCTTATGTTAAGCAGATGCCCTTGCTTCCAAACCGGCTCGCCTCCTGAGGCTCGACCGCCTTCGCCATCCGATTATTCACTTGCTTGCATCCTGCCGGGTGGTCTGGTCGAGTTGACGAGTGCTGGTGGTCACACCCGTCATGTGCATGGAGGCACCTATTCCTACACCTCTGTGAGCATCCACCCTACTGGCATCCAGCAAAAAGACGGTTAAGAAGCGCTTGTGTGGAGGCAACCCCAGCTAGGTTTGCATTTCATTTCCTTAATCTTTTTAATTTTTGTGTTTTTTGAGTCTTGAGGTGTCGTACAAGGTTCGGATGTCGTTTTTGCGCGAAAGCGGGTTGAAACCGGGGTTCTGGAATTCCACACAGCCAAGCCTAAATTCTGCACGGTCGTGTGGATTTTCCCTTTGGCCGTGTGAAGCCCCTGAAAATCCCACGCGGGGAGCTGGGGGCCGATACACGGCCTTGTGCATCTGTCGGCCAGCCTATGTGGAATCCTCGGTGCCACAGGGGCAAAACCCCTCTCCACAAGGCAGTGTGGCCTGCCCGTTTCCCTCTAAATTCGACCTGCGCGGCCGCGTTGGCAGAAAACAACCGCCCTCGCCGGAAAACCGCGACCTATCACTTTTTTGGCAATTTTCCGGCCATTTTTGGTCGGTTTTCACCAAACCAACACCTCTACACATCATCCCCTACACATCTACTTGTGTCTCCATGTTTGATTTTGCCCTTTACCTTGTGAATTGTGGAGAATTTGGGTGTGTGTACCTTAAGAGAACCGCTTTGAAATGTGTGAATTGATAGAAATTGATTGAGGGGAAGGCTTGGATTATGTGTGGATTGTGTTGGCCAAAGTTTCCCTTGCTTGATTGAGCCCTTGTGTGCTAGGATTTTGCCCATTCTATGCTTAACTTAAAAGTGCACACAAGGTGTTCGATGAAATGCCAGTTTTTCATACCATTTTGTTGCATAATTTGCTATGGATGTGAACCTTAAGTTGCATAATTTATTGTGGATGTGCACCCACACCCATATTGTGCTTGTTTGCTCGAGTTATTGACCCCCGAACTATGGATGAAACTATGGTCGGCTATTTTCTTTTATAAAGTGTGGGGGTGTGATTGACCGTTTCTATGGCTCTTTTGGATCCACTTGGGTTTGCTTTCTTGCAGGACCATGTCAAAACTTAACCTCAAGCATCAGTTCATCCGCGATTTGAAAAGGGGCCCGCACAAGGATCGCTTTAAGCGCGTCACTCACCAAGTCCAAGCGGTAACATTATTCTACCCCTTTCTTATGCCATTGAGGGCAATGTCGAGCTTAAGTGTGGGGGGTAGTGTAGTATTATGCTTGTGTGAGTGTGATTGATGCTTGGAGCCTTATGTTTGCCCAAATTTCAAAAATTTGAGGGCTCCAAGCAATGTTTGCATGATCAAAGTGGCCAGTGTGTGAGAAATTCTCGTGTTTATTGGCATTGATCTTGAATTGTTGCATGTGATCGAGTATATCCTATGATGATGACTGAGAGGTTCATTAGGATAGTGCAAAATTTTAGTTCTCACATGTGCATAAATGAATGGATGTCTTGACTCAATTACTTGTCGATTACAATTGCCATGCATTGTGTTTTTGAATTGGAATAGATGGTTGGGTGACTAGGTAGCCATGTTGAGTAACATCACAGTTGTCACTAGTGAGTATGATGGAGGCATAGGATTAGTCCACGCCAAAATGTTGATTGTCTCGAAATGTGTTATCCACTAGTCAACCCCTTTGAGCCTTGTGACTTAGAGGGTCATTCTCAATTTAGGAGCTTTTTGCTTATGAGCTTAATGGTGTTAATAGAACGACCCCCAATCCTTTCTTCGTGTCTAAACATGAGTCGTCCTTGTGTCCTGGAGCTCTCACTTTCGAGTTCCATTGAGGTTTTACATAGGAGGTTTGTGTGTTGTTCTTGCTAAAACTGAAAAATGAAGTGTAGTGTTGGAGTGAGTTCTTCAAAAAGAGAGCATTGGTCGTTAAATGTATAGGTGGCAAAGGTTTTACTCTCTTGTACCCCCCTCAAAAATAAAAGATAAATAAAAAAGAAAAGAAAAAAGAAACGAAAAAGAGGTAATAAAATGGGGTAAATAAAGTAGAGAGTGCCACGAAAAACCAAAGTGCATGCTCTAGGAGGGGTTTCTTGGCACTCAAGCCATTGAAACCCCCCACATTATTTTAGAACTCCTTCACTACCAAACCTTAATGTGCTAGCAAGAGTTGACCGAGGAAGAGTGCTTCAATGTAGTTCACGATGGGTGATAGTTTGGAAGGGAGAGATAAGTTTTTTGGCCGATGCTAGTGGCCTTTGGTTGAGGAGAAGGTTTTTAGTTGGAACCATAGAACCTTCGGGTCTAGGTTGAAGATGTAGAACCTCACGTCATGATTTCCACCACCCAAAAAGCCTTTTCCCCACGTCTAAGACAATTGCCAGTCATTTGAACCCGTGTCCAAGACCTCCGGACAAGCTAGTGGTGACAACCATCCCGTGAACTCTAGCATTTAGAGGTTACCACCGTGGTATTGAGACAATAGGGCCGAGTGTTTATGATTGTGCACATCTTTTGCACCAAAAAGATTCCGACCCCACTGGTCTTGAGAGTGAGTGATTCATTCTTGTTTTGCATGCCATATCATACCTTGATGAGGACCTTTGTTGCCCTTCCAGTTGTTCCTCAGACTTGAATTCCATGCATGGTTAGTTGTGGTTGATAAGTCGTTTCGTTGAGACTTGCATTGATCCACGAGCAAGGTGAGAACTTTTCGTTTGCCCGTTTTTGGTGGCTTCAAATGTCGTTTGTGGTGGATGTCATTATTGCATGGAACATTCGTGTTTTAATTGCTAATAGCGATTAAGAATTCCTACTTTGTGCCCTTTGAGTTGTCCCCAAAGTATTTGTGTAGGTTGAAATATTAACTTGTGTGAAATGGTTTTCTTGGGGACAAGCAAACGTATAAGTGTGGGGGAGTGATTCGGGCCTAACTGTAAATGTTTTACCCCCGTTTTCCTTAGGCGTTTGTGGCAATTTCGCTCCTAAAAGGGTGGTTTTACGCTAGGTTTCTCGTATTTTAGCGTGTTTCAGGATTTAACAGGTAAAACCAGCCCCGAAGTCGAAAGTTGGATGAAAAGGAGTGAAAACCGGGAAAAGAGGTGACAAACGACTAGTTCACGGTTTTCCTTGGGTGTTCACGGTCTTGTATGACCGTGAAGAAGAGATGTTGCCCATGAACATCGAGGTGTCCAGAGCATTTCAAGAGGTTACTGACGCAAGACTAGTTCACGGTCACTAAGACCGTGAACAGGAGCCGTTGACCGTGAACACGTGCAGACGAAGCATTGCGTTTCGGCGCCCATTTGGAGTTCACAGACGCATTTGAGAGTTCACGTCCATGAACTGGGGCTGTGAACTGAGCTTGTTTCCTGTTTAAAAGATGAGCTGAAAGGAAGAGAGAGAGGGAGCCCATTTGAGAGTGAGAAAGCCTTCTTCAGAATTTAGAGAGAGAAAGACGAACCAAAGGTCAAGGAGGCTAGGATTTTGCTCCAAGAGTGGATTTGGGAAGATTTTCCAAAGAGAAGTCGACACAATTTCCAGGAAGATTGGAAGCCTCCTTCATGATGGTTTCTACCTCTTCCCCTTGTGTTTGTCCCATTTCTAGCATGGAGTAGATTTCTTTTTCAGTTGGGTGTTGTGAAACCCTAGCTAGCTACCATGTTGTTTTCTGTTATCTGAATTGAATGATTGTCTATGGGTCTTTTTTAATTCAATGAATGAGGTATTATTCATGTTGATTGTGCATGTTTGTGCTTAGCAATCTAAGGGTTGTGCATGTTTGTGCTTAGCAATCTAATTAGCCACTTAACCTAGATTAGGGAGGAAAACCCCCTTCCAAGGGAGACTCAATTGAATTGGTATTCCGAGAGTGCCGAGTGACACCCTTTAATGTATTCCTTGGTTTAGCAATCATGAGTGTGGTTGCGGCCATATTTGCATCCCCTAGCGGTTCACGACCACCTTGCCCATAGCAATCGTTTCAATTCACATACCATGGTAGTAGTTAGGGGGAAGCGACACCTGAGTGATCCTTCTCACAAAACAGCTTTCAAAACCATTCCCTTTTTTCTTGCTTTACTTTAATTAGCAAACTTTTCAACCAAAATTGAGTTGCTAGATAATGATTCAAATGACTGAAGTAGGGGTAGACGGACCGGCTCGGGTCGATATTTTAACATAATTATCATGTACTGCACCCGACTAAGGTTTATACTTGGACCTTAGGCGGGAATTTGTTGTGGTATTCGGGAAGAGTCAATTAAACATATAAGTATCTCCAACAAAGGCATAACAGCTTTTGCCCCACTTAGAGCTCCTATTATGAAAGATAGAGGGGTAGTGATCATCATCCTTGAAGGTGGTCATCCTCTCCGGTTTTTTATTATCCTCTCTTTCTTTTCTTAGACACCTCTGAAATGGTCGTATTATTATTAAGATAGACTTGAAATCCTCCTTCTTTGGATTGTTCTATGTATTGCAATGAAGTACTCCTGGAATTGGACTCTCTACATTTGTGTGAAATCACCATAAGCTGATGGGTTCACCATCATCATGGTATCTCAATCTAGGCCTTTGGCAAAGTACCTTGCTAGTTTGGTAAGATCCCAAGCTCTTGAAAGTTTAGGTTCTTTTGTCAAAGTCATGCATCTTCGAGTTTTTAGGATTTTCTGAATTTTCTCTCAACAACTCGAAAAGTAAAGGATAAGGCGGAAATTTCCATGCAACTAAACACAAAATCGGTAGAAGGCTTGTACAATATAATGGGTAGCAACTCGACTAAAATCAAGGGGAAAACTTGATTGGTACAGAGATCGCTCGAATGTTGGAG